TACTTGTCGAGCCACTTTATCTTCAGTATAGTTCATTCATTTATGATTCCTTCACTTCGGACCGCACAGGCAGATCCTTCGAGAAGTCTTTCCCACGACCTTGATGCGCCGCCAATGGGATATGCTCAATGGTTTGGATTCCAATGCTTGTGATCGGTGTATTCTTAAGTCTTAAAGGCAACAAGTAATCTGTTTTCCATAGCTCTCCAAAAAGAGTTTTCATAGCGTATGACTCAAATTTTTGCTCCTAGATACCCGGGGCCCTTGAAACAGGTTGTGATTCTTTGGCATTTCAGTGCCAACAGTGCATGTGTCCATCTCGCTTCATTTGTTGGTAAGAGAAGTACTCCTTTTATAGTTTCAAGAGATGGTTGTTTTGCATGCTTTCTCAAAATAAGAAATACGGTTTCGTACGTAGTAGGCGCAAAGCTCCAAACGGAGATTCATGGCACTGGTTACGTTCTACTTAGCTTATAAAGTAGGTAAGCACTTAGCAGTGTTTCAGCTTACGAGTCGCTATAACGTAGTACCTCTTGACGTATTTTCATGCAGGCAATTTTTTGATCTTGTGTTATCGCAGATTCTAAATGCGTGAAATTTGTTCGGTCCGGCGTTGCTCGGTTATTCGAGACCGTGGTGATTACAGGATTGTTGCTTAGCTAAAATTTACGGCAGGGTTTGCCATAATGACGCCTTTGTGCCAAATAACTAACGGCGCTTTGTTTTTTAGAGTACGAACCGGCGATTAGAGCAACAGCACAAGATGTCGCATTCATCATGTTTTCGAGCGGAACTACGGCTGACCCAAAAGGCATTCCGATTAGTCACGCGAACGTGATTGCGGCTACCGCGGCTCAGTCTGCTGTGATTCCGAATGTCAGGTAATTTGTGCTGTAGATTTCATCGAACAAGTTGTGCGCAGGTGAAGTAACAAACGGCTTGAATCATCGTTCGACGCGGAACTGCAACTGAGTAGTAATTTATTATAATTCTAGTCCACATTGAAGCGCTGTCTTCGTCTACTGTAGTATGTTCTTTCGTTTCCGTAGTTGTCTTCATGTCATTATCGGTTCGTTTTCTAGTTTGAACTGAGGTCTCCTTTGGCTTTGTTCGGGATTCTAGCACTGCCCCTTCGTTGAAAATGTAGATCATTGAGTGTAAATCGATTAGATTAAACGAGAAGACTATTGTGTTCCCATAATGTTCCCGCAGTCATCGAGTGTCGTCAATTTTCCTACATTTTCTAGTGCTTTGAATTCCTGTGATTTGCGTTGACGTTGTTTTGCTGATAAAGTTTTCTCTCAGTGTCAAGGGCCACGTTAGCTGACTTCGATATTGTCGGCTCGCTTGCTTTATACACGCGTATTGTTACCCTGTCCGTTTATTTTCAGATCCTTAGGGAATCATATCAATTAGCCAAGGTTCCATAGAATTTTATCTATCCATTTGGCATAGTTTGGCGTATTATTGTCATGATACCTAGCTTTCTTCTGATGTACGCATTTGCGGTTTGCGATTTTCACGACGTTTAGAAAAAGGTTATCCGCGATTTTTATTGTAATTGGCTTTGTGAAATCAGTTCGGAGGTTGGTTTTCGTACTTTGCTTTCACTGTCGTTTTTCAGCCTTGATGATGTTTATATTGGTTACCTGCCATTGGCGCACATCTTGGAGTTTGACGCCGAGTTTTGCTGTCTGGCAAATGGAGTCCGTATCGGCTACAGCTCACCGCTGACTTTAACGGATAACGCGAGTAAAATAAAGCGAGGCGCCAGAGGTGATTGTGCGGTACTGAACCCGACGTTGATTGCAACCGTCCCGGTAAGATACGCATAAGGTTGAATTCATGCCGTGATACCAACTGCTGTATTTCTCTCAGGGGAGTGATTGTTAGTTGACTAGCTGTAATCTGTATTGTGATTTGATTCGAACCGTTGCGATATTGCATGTGTGTGAATAATCCTTATTTTACAACGCAAAATTAACGTGAGGTGTAGAAAAGCAGAGTGTTTAGGGTCGAGTCATAGGATCTTTCTGTATTTTCTTGCGTCAAGAGGTCTGTACTTTCAGACCGATGTGTAAAATGCAAACATTTCTTTGTAGCTTAACCATTGCGAAAACGTTTTCTGAAATTTCAAGTCAGTAAGATATTTTATCGGGTGAATAGACCTACGGTTGTTGGTTTCCTTGAGAATTTTTGACGAAAGCCGTAGGCAACGGTACTTACCGATAGTGCCATGTCCTTTTAAAACAGCAAAAATTGATTTAGAACTAACGTGCAAAAATAATTTGCTTTCCTGCATGTTTTCATGACATTTCCGTGAAGTCGATGTTGTGGATTGCGGGGCTGGCCTTGATGTCTTCTGTAACGATTGAGCAGAGTGGATTCCAGCGTACTTCGGCTTACTGTTGAACTATCACGTACTTGCATCCCGACCATCCAATGCTGACAAATCTCTGACTACTAAAGCGTTTAAATCGGTGCAGACACCCTTTTTGTTTGGCTCTGATAACAGTTTGCAACATACTCAGTCCACGAATATAGATCTTATGTAAGGATGTCATTAGCATATTCTGACTAATTTTCAGACCGTTATGGATCGTATCTACAAAGCGGTAATCGGGAAATTGCAAAACAGCAGTCATTTGCGTCAGGCCATTTTTGAATTTGTGTACGAGCTTAAGCGAAGTCGACTAGAGTCTGGATATTCTACTCCATTCCTCAACAGGTTTGTTGTTGCGCTTTGTTTTGGAGTTTTTGAATGCGTCTCTTGAAGATTGATCTTCTCACATATCAGCAACATTCTTGGCAATAGAGTAAGGCTCATCCTTAGCGGCGGGGCGCCACTGAACCCGGAAACGCAGCGTTTCATCAACATCTGCTTCTGTTGCCCAGTTGGTCAGGGTTACGGTCTGACCGAAACGTGCGGTGCTGGAACGATTTGTCACAGTAAGCTTTTGCGCTGTAAACTTGAAATTTTATTGCGTGCATAGAATCGCAAAAACGAATTTTGATTTTTCAGTCAAGTAAACAAATACTCTTATCAGTAAGTTCAGGGTTTGGTATAATTGGTAGAGGCATTCGTTTAATGTATTATTTCGTCAGTGAATAGCTTCCGTTTAGCGCCTTCAATGAAATGACTTCGTTATTAATACGCAGAAGACTAACGATTTCTCAGCATGGAGGTAAACTGATATACGGGTTTGACTTTTACCGTTTCACCATGTTATGCCTGCTTTTCTCTTTCAGTCGACGCCATGATTCGATCATTACTGGATGCGCTCTGCTGTTTTTTCATTTTTTCGGTAACATAACGCCATGGTGCTGGCAGTTGGGGTTGTTTTTTGCCATGAATTTTATTCTGGCGTCCACGAAGTACTAGAGTGACTTCTGTTGTCGCGGCGTTCTCGTTAATCAGCAGCGCAACTTAATGAGAATAATTATGGCGCGGTGGTGGGAAAGCCTTTCCCACATAATAATGTATCAGTGCTTAACAATCGGTATTTTCATCATGCAGTATCAATGATAAATCTGATCTCTCTTATGAAAATCGTATCAGCTATTCAAGCAGTGAACCAGTTTTGCTATTTTAGACAAATACCGATTTCGTTTTTAACTGCTTTACTGATCGTTTATAACTGTTGGAAACTTTAGGCGATGATCTGACTACCGGTCGAGTTGGTTCGCCTTTGGCATGTAACGACATCATGTTGCGCAACTGGAACGAAGGCGGATACATGATTCAGAATAAACCACACCCGCAGGGCGAGATCTTGATCAGTGGCGCGAATGTTATCAAAGGATACCTGGCCAATTCAGGAAGCGCTGCCGACTTCATTGAAATCGATGGTCGAACCTGGTTCTGCTCTGGGGACATCGGCGAATTCTACAGCGACGGTTGTTTGAAAATCATAGGTACGAGTTAGGTTTACAGCTGCTAGTTTGTCAAATCGGCTGCTGACGATTGATTTGCAGATCGGAGGAAAGACCTGATTAAACTTCAGCATGGCGAATACGTTTCTGTCGCAAGGGTGGAAACTGTTTTGCTCACCTGTCCTTTGATTGACTATGTCTGCGTTTATGGCAATTCATTGTATTCTTATCTCGTCGCTATCGTTGTTCCTAACCAGAAGAATCTTACAGAATTTGCGAAGGAGGTAAGCAGTAACATTTAGAATGCCTTGTTCGTCCAGTCCAGCATCGAATGTACTAACCCCGCTGCAGATAAGCATTGTTTAACTGTAGACCCATGGTTTGATCACGTTGCGTTAAATAGCACTATAGCATTACCACGTATTACCTAGATGCCCAGGAACCATTTAAGCATACCCGGGGCTCCACTGTATATTAATGTATAAATCCATCTGATCATCATCAGTTCAGTCATTTTACTGATTCGAGCAATGCCTTGAGCACCCAAGTACATTTTTTGTTGGCCTGATTACTTTATAACCTTTATTATTTGTATGATTGCTTCCAAATTACATCGTAGAGTAGCATGAAGTACCGTCTCAAGAATCAACGAGGCTTTAGTAAAGAAGCAAAATACACTCGTTTTGTCGCTTGTAACTGTGATTGCACGTTTTCGAGAAATTTCCATGATTATATATGTTAGGAAAAACATTGGTCGATTTAAGATGGATAGCTTCGCATGGCAGTCTAGCCCTTTTCTCAGCATTACAGGCCTATTTAATTCCCGCGTGATACTGTCTTCACTTGAGCGATTCTTGTGTCTCCCTCCAAGCCCCTGCCTTTGATATGTTTGTTTTCTCATAATCATTTTAAGTAGTTTTGCATAATCTTATAATTTCTCATGTTCACCCATCTCAGCGATTCGCACTTTGATACATCTGAAGTTTGGAATATTTCATTCTATACCCTTTTCATAAACCGCACTGTCCGCAATGGTAGGCATGAAATATTGTTTGAAACAGTGAAATTTTATGTATAAAGGTTTTTGCGTTTAAAAACGCGTGCGAGGAAACTTTCGGATTGTTTCTCTAAATTTATTTGTACTTTAGCTCATTGTTTCGATTTAAGAATTTTATTTTTCAGTTGGGCGTCGAAGACCTAAAATTTGAAGCGTTATGCGATAACGCGGTGGTTGTCGAGGCTGTCAAGGATGAAGTCTTCAAACATGCCGAAAAATGTAAGTCATTTTTTTTATAGCTAGATGTAGTAACTGAACGGCTAAATTATTAGATATATGCTGAAAACAAGCAGCGCATAATCTGTTTGCCACACTGCTATATGTTTAATCATGAGAGTAGACCGGTGTCAAAATTTTGACCCATATCTCACTGGTCTTATTTAAACGAACAAAAAATAATCGAAGTTAAAATACAGTGATTGTCATTTTGTTTATTATGAAAACCGACACAATTTGGTGTGCGCTCTGCTGGTGTTTTGTTTCAGTCAGGAGAAGCAGTCGAGAGTCCGTCTTTCATAGCGTAACACGACAGAAATAGATCACAAATTCTATGCGCTGCTCAGAGAAGAGATATGGCTTCATAGTAAAAAAAAACGATACCGTGTGTGCTGCTGGATTTGCCTGATTTTGACTATTTAGGTGCTGTGGATATTTTTGTCGTTCATTTTTTAACCTTATCGTCCAACGCTTCTCGATTTTTCTCTACCCTCGGCATTAGTCCTCAATTCAGAGGATAAATGGCAAAGATCGAAAGTGCTTTCCTGTTTTCTTTTATATGCTTTCCTTTACTACTACTATGAACATGGGTATATAATCTGGGTGTTCTTCTACACAGAACAGGTTCTGAGGGTCTGCCAATCCCGGTTACAATAGCGTCGTTATTTGACAGTGTCGGGGTTCAGTACTTCTTCACACAGGTGCAGTAGCCTCTCAGCTGTTAGCAATCGATTGTACTGTTATGCAGTTAAATGTTTCGGTATTCGCTTACTCTCCGTGACGGGGTCACCGCAGTGGAGGAACAGCGTAGTGGTTCGACAAATGTACGCCAAACAAATTGCGCAGTTGACTAGAGTGCTGTTGAAGTATTTCGACTTATACAGTGATGCTGAAATTTAGATGTTTACATAATCGGCTTTCCATAAATCTCACTTCCGTATCCATCCCAAACATAGCATAAAAAGCTTTGTTAGAGATCGCATATCACAGCAGATTACGACCTGGGCTATATTTTTAGGACTTGAAACGTGGTATGAACCTCAAGATGGTCTTCTAATGAGACAGTGGCGATCCGGAATTGACAAATTTTTTTATACCATTATGGCCTATTTGCTTTGTACAGGGGCACGCTAATTACAAGTCTGGACCCAAGGAATTGAAGCCGCAGTCCGTATTGATCCTCGACGAAGTCAGCCTGAAAGTTTATGTACCATTTGCTTCGTTCTTTGAGCAAAGGATGATCACGCAATGATCGATGTTGGACGATTCTTGATGAATGGCGTCGTGATACGGACTGAGGACTGATCCTTTGTGACAGCTTGGTGATTGAGAGCAGGAAAAGGCAGTTTAACAATGTTACCTGAGCTATCTCATATCGTTATCCTTCTGAACGGGTATTTTATTTTTCGTTTTTGTGTAAACTTAAATAGACGATTTGGACTTCTAAAATTGTGCGCATGTTCATGTTTTCTGGCATCGTGCCAACCATTCCTTATATTTTGTCTTTTTCTGAAGTTGATCTTGATGGTCAGCGAAGCTGAAAACACATTTTTCCCGTGGTTAGTTGTTAGGAATGTGGTAAAGAGTAACGAATCTTTCTTGGCGGGAATCAGTTTTCTTAACTCTCTTGGCTGTTGTTTCTCTGCAATTTTCCTTCCATTACGTGTCTTCCAAGATGAAGTTTTAAAATGTTTTTAGAAATGATAGTCTTCATACTTTTGTACTTATACTCCTCATTTTCTTGCAGTACGATCGCTTTGAATTTAATCCTCAGGAGTGGAGGAAATGAAATCACTGTTGGTATTTAGTGTCTGTAATTAAAACGGTCCAAATTATTTAATTGGAAAGTTGTTTGCAATAAAGTTGGTACATTGACAAAATAACCCCGATGTTCCTGGGCTGCTGCCACATTGTTGCTTTCAAGTCCCGCAAATAAAATGACTTTAAAATTTTTTATACCGGATTTACTCAGCATAAGCGTACAACCCTCTTGTTTTTAGTCGCCTAAGGGAACCATTTAGGCAGGTCACGATTTAATTCTGTTTTAGTACCAGCAGTGCACTGGATGCAGGACCGCATTTCGGAGTCATACTGAACAACGGCACGTTCTAACACAAACTACATTTGCCACAGTCCGTAGCCAGTTAGAAAATTAACTCGGACTTTCCCGTGTCGTTACCAAATTTCTAATTCAGTCGGTAATCATAACATTTCAATTGCTGATACGAGGTTTACTCTGTGTAAGCGCACCGGCTCTTTGCTTCTAGTCGCCTGGGGGAGGGGCTACTTAAGCAGGCCACGACTCCATGGTATTTGAGCACCTGCAGTGGCAAGCAAGGAGGAAGTGGGTTTTCCGCCGAGTGCATCCGGTTTCAGAAATTAAAATATTGATTGCACGCACTGCAAAGCTACTGCGTAGTTATAGTGCATGACAGTATGTTTATGTCAACAAATTATTTGATTTCAACGTTTGTAATCGTTCCATTCGAGTGCAAACAGGTAGCTGCAAGCGAACCGCCCCCTCCCCCCATTCCATGACCCAGAACTTCAATTCAGAGATATGATTGAAACAGGACATTGTTTTAATCAATATCCCTTGACAGTGACCCGAGTTTTACTGGAGATTTGACGTGAGATGTGTGATAAATTTTTTGAATAGTCTGCTTTTAACAGTTTCCTTGTGATGGCCAGTTCTTTACTTGTTTAAAAGACGATTTTAGATAAGTTGTTGAAATATGAAGTTCCTCAGAAGTTCTACCTCTGTAAAGAGAAATGGACGGCGGAAATGGGACTTTTGACCGATGCGTTGAAACTTAAACGGAAAGCGATCGAAAACTTCTATAAAGACGTTCTCGAATCTCTGTATGCATTATAGTACTGATTCCGACTTGTTATATATTGCGAAATTAGGTACATCTGTAGATCGTTGTCATGAAACGCGTCGTTCTGTTGTATATATTATGCTGTCTGTGGGTTATAAAAATTGTATTTTGGGTCTGCAGCTCAATTACTTGCTGTTGGTCGTTTCGTAAACATAGAAAATGACTGCTTTTCTTCTTTCATGTTCCGCTCACAACTGTGCATCTTTTGATTATTATACATTATTTGAAATGTCTGTTAATCTGGTTCATTTAGGAAGTTGTAGACATTTTCTTAAGCTTACTCTTCCTGTATTACATTGATTGTCATGAAGTTTGCTTCGTTTCTAATGCAGTTCGCTTTTTGACGTGTTACCGGAGTGTGTTCGTAAACCTCGTGTGTCTGTGTAGCACTTTCTTGCTCTGTAATGTATGTACCTAACATTTCTGTTATTGCGGTTGGATTTCTGATGTTGATGGTGAAATCTCTAATTGTTTATTGACAATGAATTTGTAAAAATTTTGCCTTGAACATATAAGATATAGCTTTATCATATAACTCAGTGCAGGCTTATTTTTTTGCAGTTTGAAAATGCGATTATGCATGATCTACAAACATACATCGTTTACGACGACTGTTTTACCAACCGAAGATGCCTATTCGGAACACGGTGTAAAGAAAAACAAGAGATATTTTCCTTAAGTTGAACAAAATTCAATAGATAATGACATGATGCTGGAGTATAATAGTTTTACGGTTATGCTGTCGAAATTTGGTAGCGCGTGGTTGGTACGGTATCCACAGTGACTAGGGAGTCAGTTGGCAAAATCGTGTCGCTTGATGCCGAGGAAATGCCTCTAGCAACTCACGTCGAAGTTGCGTGTCTTGCTTATATCAAGTTACAGTAAAGTCTATGTCCTTGTGCTTTACGGTAATGTCGCGCCGTCTGGCGATTGTTGTTGACTTGTGACTTGACTGTGTGCTGAGAC